AGAAAATGCGTGAGAGAGGGAGAGAAAGAGAACAAAAATTCTAGAAAATAGGAGCAGCTTTTGCTTTTATTTATACCAACCTAAATTTTCATTATTTTTTTTTGGGTTGTTATAAAAAGTATGCATGCTCGAGGTTGATGTTAATGCATTATATTTTTATTTAAATGTATTTGTACATCATAATCATGAAAGGTTTTACATTTATGATTTTGATGAAAGAAAAAAGAAAAAAAAGTAAAGGAATGCATTTCTTATAATGTATTTACGGATCATAACCATAGAAAGGACTTTACTTCATGGTTTTTATGAAAAGTAAAAAAGGAAAAAAGACATGTTTTTAAAAAGAAATGGCTAGGTACCTTCTGAGGTTGTGGGAGAGGAATGATCGCCCTCTCGAGGAAAGAAGGCTTACTAAAGGAATGATCTAGTATATACTTTTAGCATGTAAATGAAAATAAGAACATGCCAAGAGAATGATCTAATGTATGCTCATGACATGTGAAGAAAAATGAGGATATGCTAAGGAAATGATTTGGTATACACTCTTATCATGTAAAGAAAAATGTTATGGGAAAGTACTTAGTGCTTTTGAGAAGTTTTCACAATTGTATATTTTAAAAAGATTTGATTATATACATAATATATAGAGTGCGATCGAAGAGAACAATAAATTTCAAAAGGCACAAAAATGATTTCTAAATTCATCACGTGCATTACATGCATTACATGAATTACACTTACCGGGCATTACTTATCTTTGTTTCTTATGGTGTAGGAGAAAAGAAAGATGAATGAGGACTCGTTGTCGAGAAATATGAAAGACTTGCCTTATGTGTACTTACTATGTAAAATAATTGAGGAAACTTAACTTCGCTTAACTCGATTTTTAGTTATGTATATTGATTATAAGTTAAGGAAATATGATTTATAATAATAAATGATATGGTTCGAATATTTAGCAAAGATAAAAAAAAGGATTTTATTTCAAAATATTTTCTAATAGTAATTGAAAATATTTCATGATTATGAGGTTTTCATGGCTTTCATGGTTTTTATGAGGAGGGCTTCACAGGTTTTCATACCTATAATGGTTCATGATTTAAATTTCAAGGTTGAGTGGGATGCGGACGTGTATTTTCCGGAGGCACGATAGGATGCGCGTCTATAGACAGTGTCCGGTTCTCCGGACATATTATGAAAATCCCGAAGTTCCTATAATGGGATATGTCCAAAGATAGAAAATAATTTTCAAACTATTCATGATGATGATTTTATGACATGAAAAAGGATTTATGATGAGCATATACATAATTATCATATGCATTTCATTTATATACATAACATGTATAGATTAACTTACCGAGCTATTGCTTACCTAGTTTTTTATAGTGTAGATATTATAGGTAAAAATAGCAATGTTCACTCATTGAGCCGATCACCGGAGGGTTCATACATCGTATTTATCTCGGAAGGAGCTTTGGGTTTCGAGTGGACCTCCTACATGCGATTCTCTTTTTAATGCTTGGTGTTATAATATATATACTAGGTATGATAGTTTATTCTATATAATAGTTAAAGCTATGAACAAGTAAACGAGTGGCTAGTATTGTGATCTAAACCAAGTAAATAAGTCATTTTTGTAGTATGTGGCATTAAATTGTTTTGTATATAAATATGTATAGTTGGCATGTAACCTAAACTTAAAACAAAATAGTATTAGTGATATGACTTAGTGATTGTTAACACTAGCTTCTTTTAGTTAACTTCTTATATGGTAACGCCGATAATAAATTTCGATCTCTTAATTAATAAAGGAACATAATAACAAAAAATGGTAATTAAGATGATAAAGAAAATCAAGTATCAAATAATGAGTAATTAATAAATAAATTCCTATGAATTAGTAGAAAAAGAATTTGAGAAAATCGAGCTTTATAGATCTAGTTTGTTCGAGTCCAAACAACCTAATAATGTCATTTATAGTGCATTTTAGACTAAAACGTAAGACCTATATGTCATTCATAGGTTTCGTAGCATGAAAAACATAGGATCGAACAAACTTATATGTCATTTATAGGTTTTTACGAGCATGATAAAATATAAAAAACTTATAGTGCATTTTAGATCGAAACGTAGGACCTATATGTCATTTATAAGTTTCTACAAGCATAACCCATACCTAGTAATGTCATAGGAAAGACATATTGCCTTATTGACTTGCATTCATTGCACTTTGAATGTCGATCAATGACAATAATATTCTCAACCTACGAGGTCTTAGGTCGAGGGTGTTACAAAAAATATCTTCCTTTTCTCTCTTTATTTCTTCTAATTTAAACCAACCATAATTGATTACATAGTCAAAACAATGTCTTTATCTTTTAAAAGATTTTTTTCATTAATCATGAAAGATAATGATACTTCACATGAACAACAACTTAATCAATGGTATGACCCACTTCTCGTTATTCATGGTTCTTGGCAACAACAATAATAAGAAAACAATAGCTCTTTTTGGAACCATCTCTTACTCGGTTGTATCCGAGAGGCCAAGGAAGTTAATTGTGATGCTATTTGCGAAAGAGAGTCGCTATTTTCTCTTAACAAAACTCAAAAGTTATCCATTCTCACAAAAGTTACCTCTAAATCCCTCTCCCATGTAATTTTTCTCAACATTATCTATTTTTCTTAGGTTTTTCTCTAAGAAAATTGTAAAATTGATGTAAAAAAAAGTTATGGCCCACATTCTTTTCAATAACTTCTACCACTCTCCTTCACAATCTAGCCTCTCACCATCGTTGTTTGCTTGCTCAAGCAATCGAAAAGAGGCCAAATCATAGCCATAAAATTGATGTGGCTCGTTGATTTTGGAGAAGTGAGACAAATATAAAATTGACGTTGGTTGTTGTCATAGCCTAAAATTTTTTAGAGTTTAAATTCAAGAATAAAATTGATGTGGGTTGTTGATTTTGGAGAAGTAAGACAACATGCTGAAATTCAATGTGAATGTTAATGGTGGTTGGATTGGATTGAATATGTTTATGGTTCGTTGGTTGAGAGGAACATGACATGGAAGAAGTGACTCGTTGAGGTTTAGAGTGGGAGATGATGACAATAGGACTTATGTGTGGTTAGGTTGCTGGTGGTGTAAGGGACACCACCGAAGGTGGCAGATGGGTGAAGAGGAGGCTCGGCAGGGGAGAATTAAATAAAAAGGTAAGTTACATAATTTCCTAACCATTTAGAGTAGAGATGATACAAATTACTATAGGGGCATTTTGGGACTTTTCTTTTTATTTCGGAATTCATCTCGCTTCTTTTAAAAAATCATATGAAAAAAATATCACGTGTTAGCATCTTGTGAGTTTTTCATTGAGATTTGACCTCGTTAGCTAAAAATTTAGACAGAGAGACACAATTAAGATGCAAAGCTAACATTGAGGGGTGCAATTAATGAACATTTTAGTTAAAGAATATCATTAAGACAAACAAAATAGTAGAAGAACATATTGAACTATTAACCCGCCTAAAGTTACGATCCTCGCTCCACTCAATATAAATAGTTCACACCATTTATAAAAATTATAGCCACGATCATTCCTCTAATTAGTTGCAACACGGATTAGACAACATTAAAGACTTAATAGTTGGGTGAAGATTACTCTTTGATATCTATTTTGGAACTCATTCTTCACACTTCGTTGAATAAAGGATCCCTTTCGTAATCATACTCTAGTCTTTAGATCGTTGCAATATATATTGGAATAATTGTTCTAGTTCTTGACTCATTGGACAAACTTAGAAAAGCTATTGGATTAATGAATTGGTGATAGGTGTGGAGGGACAATGACACACACACACACACACATATTACAAAAAAATCACAATATGGAGGGACTATTGACATAAAAAAAGGTGCTTAAGAACGTAGTTAATTCGTAAAAAGAGAATTAAAAAAACTAAAGTACCTAAATCCACTCAAGAAACAAATCTTCTCTCTTGTTTTTTTAATGGCAGTTGGCTTTTTTTTTTTTTTTTTAACATTACAGAGCCAAAGAGAGAAAATGTGAGAGAAACTGATGAGAACTAAGGAGAGAGGAATTGAATTGGTGACAATCGAGCTTTGTTAAAATGGAGAACAACATGAGAAAGAGACAACAAGAGATGAAATGACGAAGAATGAGAGGAAAGAGAAGAAATGGTTGAGAATAAAGGGTTGAATGACTAAAAATAGAAAAAGGGTTTCATATTGAAGATTATATCTACGAAGAGAGAAAGAGGAAAAATTAGGGTTGATTAGGAAAAAATTTCTATGGTTTTTTTTTTTTTTTTTTTTACTTTCAAAAGTTATTTACTTAATTTCAAAAAAGTAAATTAAAAAATAACTTATGTCAAGATCTTGTGTCTCTTTTGTCAAGATTTAAAGCTATTATCTGAAATAACTAAATATTAAAGGATGATGTTAAGACCAAATTTAATAAAGAACAGGATTAAGATAAAAATAAGAGTAAGAAGACCCCTTGAACCATTAACCCTAAAATTAGCTATTGTTGGATCAACAAACCTTTTTATCGGTGAAAAAGTGTGAGCGTAATCGCAACAAAGAAAAAGTCTTGTTATGATACTACATATAATCTCAAAAAATGTGTGGAGCATAAGATATAATTACGTAAAACCTGAGGGTGCCTCTAGCAATTAACAAAGAATACTTTTGGCTCATGGAAATTAGCTTTCATCGTCAAAAATTTCTTCTACGATTGCCGCCAGAGCTTAATACTCGGCTCCACCAAACCTGTCGAAAGGCAAGAAACCTTGTACCTAAATCTGCAAGTCTCACTTGTTAGAAATTGAACTCAACAAAACCACCGTACTAAGAAGGTAAGAAACTCTACAAGAAACTATCTTAGTCATAGTAACTTCTGTTGTGCTTATTAAACAGTAGCTGCTTTTTTTGTTGAATCTCTATCAAGCACTAGACTTTGTTTCTTATCAAGTTAGCCATGACCCATTTGCACAAACTCCAAATTCTTAAAAGGGTTACTTCAAATTTTGTTGGTAGCTGCAGAACCCCAATACGGCAATTGGGCTCTTTATTCTACATTTTAGAAAACCCTAGGTTCTATGGGACAAAAGCAATGGTTCAAACTGAAAATTTGGATAGAAAGTTGATAGATAATGATCAAAGCATTAGCAAAATCTCTGATGGTGCTGGAAGGGAAGCCCAGGCTGCAACTGCATTGTTGGAGTATTTGCACTCCACTAGAAGTTTACAGTTTTTGGATGCAGAGCATATGAGTAAAAACTCACCTATTTTTCTTAAAAATATACTTAAGAAGGTTACGGTTGATGCAGATATTAGGCGATCCATTGCCCGTTACTTGCGTTATCACCCTATAAATGAATTTGAGCTTTTCTTTGAGAGTTTGGGTTTAAAACCTCAAGAGTATAGTTCTCTTCTTCCGCGTGATCTGATGTATTTGAGTGATGATGATTTGCTGCTGGAGAATTATCATGTTTTGTGTAATTATGGGATTGCAAGAAATAAGATGGGGAAGATTTATAAGGAGGCAACAGAAGTTTTTGGATATGATTATGGGTTCCTGGCATTGAAACTTAAAGCTTATGAGAAGCTGGGGCTTAGCCCTTCTTTTATAGCCAAGGTGGTTGTCCATAGCCCTAATCTTTTGATTGGAGATGCAAATGTAGAATTTATCAAGGTATTGGAGATATTGAGGAAAGGGGGACTTGATTACCGTATAATTGAGAAGCTATTGTCGGAGAAGAGCACTTATAACTGGAGCCAGTTGCTTGCACTTCTAAACTTGTTTGGTAAGTCAGGTTACAATGATGAGCAGCTAGGTGAGCTGATAAGCCAGAAGCCATGGATTCTGCATGAGGATTCAGTGGATAGGATACTATTACTAATTGGGTTCTTGCTCAAATTTGGATCCACAATGAACCAGATATGTTCCTTGTTTCAGCAGTTTCCCAAAATACAAGTTGAAAAATTTGTTTCCAATTTGAGGCATTGCTTTCTTTTCTTGAATGAGATCAATATGGAGGCATACGAGATTGGGAAGCTTCTTTGTTCTCACCCACTATTTCTAGGTTCATTTAAATTGAAAAAAACCAATAGTTTGCTTTCTCGTTTGAATGCTGGGAAGAAGCGAATTTGTGAAGTCATCCAGGAGAATCCAGAAATTATGAAGAAATGGGTGAAGGGATCGAAAATTGAATGGTTACCAGACTCAGGTGAGGAACTAAGATCTCAAATGCTGAAGACTAAGTTCTTCTTGGACTTGGGATTTGTTGAGAAATCAGCTGAAATGGAAAGAGCACTTAAGGTTTTCCGAGGCAGAGGAGCTGAGCTTCAAGAGAGATTTGATTGCATTGAGAGAGCTGGTTTGGATAGAAAGGATGTTTGTGAAATGATAAAAGTATCCCCTCAAATTCTTAATCAGAAGAAGGAAGTTATTGAAATGAAGATTGATTTTCTTGTAAATGATTTGGGTTGTCCTGTATCATCTTTGGTCAGATTCCCTTCCTATCTCTCTTACACAATGCAAAGAGCTAAGCTTAGGTTAACAATGTATAATTGGCTCAAAGAGCAGGGAAAAGTTAATCTGACGCTTTCCTTCAGCACTGTAGTTGGTTGCACAGATAATGTGTTCCTTAGTCAGTATGTAAATCGTCATCCTAGAGGCCCTGAAATTTGGGAGGATTTAAAAAAAGAAATTTATTCTGCATAGAAATGATCTGCTGCATCTGCCTCTATTAAATGGAAAGTCTGAAGATGTTTGATTCTTTTGTTCCTACAAGCTGGAAATATTTATTGATGCTGTTGTATTCATACATTTTATATTGAAGCCAATACACTGTTTTGCTTCTTACCTCGGTTCTCCTGCAGCACCTTCCACTTATCCAGCACAATCTCAAATTTCCTATGTGCCAGCTTCCATGGAGAAAAACCCCTACTGCTTTGACCAGTAACCCCTCTGGGAATGACAGGTACCCATACTACTCCATAAAAAATAAGTTATTTGCCCTCGAATCTTGGATCGTTGGTTTTGTATTTGGCATGGTGATTTTATTTTGGGTTTCATCTTGAATCTTGGAGTTACCTTGGAGTGTTTTTTATGGGTATATTTCCTTTGAGAAATTATGTATTGAAGTTGTCCAGAATTAGAACAAAAAGGGTGGGAAGAATAAAGCATTGCCCAATTCTTGACATATTGTATTGATGGTGATAGACCCTTTAGCTCAAATGTAGAGTCCACTTTTCTTTTCTTTTCTGGGAGGTCCCATAACATTTCCATGCTTAAAGGTCAGAATACAAAATTTAATGGCACTATAAAACCATTATGTTGCGTGTGAGTATATAGAATAGATAGTGTTATAAAATAACATTTTTTGAGGGACAATTTTTGGAAATTGCTGATGTTTTAAATCTGTCGTGAACTCATCATATTCCGTAAAAAGTTTTGTTGGCTAATTATTAGCATCAGACTTTCATTGCATTATGTAGATAGCTATGATTTTGGCTTTTGACAAGCAAGCAAGGGGGTCTTAATAAAATCTCACTCTCTCTCTCTCTCACCGACATTTGAGCACACATTTAAACAGTGTTCTTATAAAATGAGGAGAGAGCATTTATCTGTATTTATTTACCTTTAAAATTTTTGTTTCTGGTGTCATCATCTTATTTTCTCAGAACATGCAAGGGTTGGTTTGGTTACATGCAAGACAGTGTAAGCTGCATAGAAGGTCACAGATGATGCACAAGGTGCTTGGGGTAAGTCAATAATAATTCGTCTAATGGTCATAATGGTGTGCTTTTTCCCTTTTTGTTGTACTGTATATGATTCTTTAGAAAAGGAAATTTCTTAATCAACATAAACTACCGATTTTTCTAATTTCTTTTCACCTTTTCTCCCTAACGTTTTCAGAGCATTAACAAAACGCCATATTGGAATGCAATATCTTTCTCTGTATCAAATGCAGCAAGCCATAGAAGAAAGGCAGTTGTATGATAATATGAATTTGGAACTTGGCAGAATGAAATCTACAAGGTGTGAAATCTGAAAGACAATAAGATAGTGAGCAATAGACAGTTCATTCTCACAATGAAGTGCTGCATTGAAGTCGTGCATTTAGAAGCTTCTGAGTTTTATTCCCCTTTACAAAATATCTTTGCTGCTGCAGTTTGGGCAGTGTATGATGTTCCTCCTAGAATGGATGGTTACTAGGGAATAGGGAGCCAAATGGGCTGAGCTGGAGATTGAGGGCCTGGAAGCAATCCAAACTTCATTTCAACTATTTATTATCTTTGGTGTCAACATGATGTACAAAATGGGATTCTACTTTTCAACTTATTGATACATGCAGTATGGATCAAACTATATTTAGAAGCTTTCAAGTTTTTTAAAAAAGAAAACAAAGGTTTTTCTGGTGTTTAATCTTCCAATTTTTTTCTGTTTTGATGTCCAACCATTGATTTTTTGTTTTTTTTTTTGGGTGTCTGAGTTCACTTGAATTCTGATTTTATTGATGTGTCCGATGAGACCTATCATGTGACAGTCAAAAAAAGCCATATGGTGATCAACTCATGTCATGTGACGGTCAATCTTTGTCACGTCAACATCTCATGCCCTCATGTAGTTATGAGCACTCAAATAGAAAAGAAAAAGAAAAAAGAAAAAAAAATCAAAGATGAGGCATTAAAATAGAAAATAAATTAAAGATTGGGCATCTAAATAGGAAAAACAAATATCAATGGTTGGACTTAAAAAATATAGTTTTTTTTCAAGAAATTTATTTTAGTTTTTTTATACCAAATGTTTATCCATATCTTATACTTTGATATATCTTTTTTATTATAAATAAATTTCATGTATTTCTTGTGCTTCCATAATATATATATATATATATATATATATATATATATATATATATATATATATATATATATATATATATATATAATCTCTCAAAATTTTTTCTTTTTTTATATTGAAAATCATATAATTTTAAGTTCTAAAAACATCGGTAATTGCATGCATGCATATTTTCTTATTATTAAGTCGATTGCACAAGCAATTTTAACAATGTATTTGTTTTTTAGCTTAATTCACGGTTTACTTATTATCTCTATCATTATCGTCATAGCTACAAAAAAATATTATACTTTAGACACTCAAATAAAAAATCTTGATCATTAAATTTATTTATATCGATTTTATCCCATTACGACTTACTATAAGAAGTTCAGCAAGTTATTGATTATAGTAAAGTTATGTTATTCATAATATATTGGTCAATTTTCTCCTTAGATAGAGGAAGTAATTTTTTTTTTTTTTAACTTTTTCATTGATCAATCATTTGTTTCACAAATGGCAATCATAATTAGATCTTATATGTCTTTTATTTTTTTAAATTTAATTTTATTTGGATTTTATATATATTTGGATTAAATGACATAATTTTAAATTTGTTTAAATGTATAAAATGGTTTAGAATTTTTAAAAAGTAATTTTTAAGCGATACGAGTACTAAAAATTACCATTTGATAAGTAAAAAAAATACGAGTATGATATGAAAAATATTTATTAAAAATTATTGGACTAATTTTGCAATCTCAAGACAATAAATTTCTTTAAAAAATGCATATTTGGTACCCAATCTTTAATTTTTTTTCTATTTTAATGTCTAATCTTTGATTATTATTTTTTCTATTTGAGTGTCCATAGTTACATGAGAGTATGAGGTGTTCACATGGCGAGGGTTGACTATCATGTGGTATTTTTTACGGCTAAGTTGCGAGTCTTGTCGGACACGTTAGCAAAATCGGAATTCGGGTGAGCTCGGGCACCAAAACAAATAAAAAATCAAAGATTGGGTAGTCAATCATGGAAAATCAACGATTGGGCACCAAAACAGAAAAAAATTGAAAGGATGGGCACTAAAAAAGCCTTTTTCTCTAAACAAATCATGTATCTTGGATGTTGTGTTCTATAAATGAGTTGCAAATTCCTATTCCTAATTCTTAAGCTCTTTCATTGCACCCACATTTATAAGGTTACTATACATGCTACAAAAATGACTTCATTGATTTGAATTTATTGCCATGTTCATAAATTAAAAAAAAAATCATTTTCATTATTTTGGTTGCAGGAGAGAACTATAACTATGAAGCTTTTTTGTACTCACAAGAGCAAATAAGGACAAAAGGTAGTTACTCGCACCAATTGTATGAAGTTGGATGGATGCGACGAGTAAAGCATTCAAACATAGTTGAAAAGACTATATGAGGATAATGGAATAGGAAAAGGAGAAGAGGATGGCATGGATTAAAGGATGAGAATCGAATGATGAAGATAGATATTCCCTACATTCGAGTTAGCTTTCGTCACCTAGCTTGTGTGATTTAACAAGATGATGAGGTGGTGGATCTAAAAGGGATGTTGACCAACTTGTTTATCAATCATCTAGATGCTAAGGAAAAATCATTACAATTGATGTTTGCTAGTCTTTAAACTGTGATCTTGCCTAAATTGATTGTTTATACCCTTGAGGGAATGATACTAGTAGAGCGACTTGTCGGGAGGGGCACCTAAGGTAAAAAAGGGTGAAGAACTTGACAATTAGGAAGAGGAAGAAATTCAAATTATCTATAAGCTCGAATAATTTGTTATTATGCTATCTCAACCTTTTGAGCGGTTAAGATTCAAAACACTAAAAAGAATCTATCTATTTTGAACTTAATGTATTACTCACTCTATCCCAAAGTATTAGTACTTTTCGACTCCTCATACATTTTGAAAAAAATATTAATTGTTATGATACGTTACTTTTTATATATTTACTTTCCTAAAATACTCCTCCATATTGCTCAATTTGAGCTTCAAAATTTCTAAAAAGATATGAGATTATTTAGCCATTCTAAAATTAAGGCCTCAAATGAAGATATTCATTTTTTTTTTCAAATTTAAGTTGAAAAAATTTTAGCAACATCTAAAAATCATTAACAAATTCTAATATTTTTCATAAAATGTTGTGCCAAAAAATTAGTTCTAAAAACAATACGTCAAATCAAGATTTTAGTCCCTTTTAAATTTAAATTGAAAAATTTTAAAAAGATTTAGAGACCATTGATGGCGTGTCGTATTACCAACAAATTAGATGATTATAATGTCCTTACAAAATCTAATAACAAGGGTGTAATTAGGGCAATAAAGGTCGAACCCACGGAAAATGGGGCTTAATTGATTGTTTCTTTCGGTTGATTGTTCTTGTAGCGTAAAAAGGACGGTGTTGTGTTTGAAGCGTTTGTGAGTAATTAAAGTAGTAGAAATAACAATATTAAAAGAAACCTTGATTGAACTTTAATATCCACTTTTAGTTTAGTCATTGATCATCGATTAAATAATTAACTTATCTTAAACATGAATGTTCACCGTAGGACAACAACATCTATGTTATCCTCGGCCTTTCCTTACTTAGTCCTTAACCGAATATACGATACCCGATTAATTTCTTAGCTACTCGTACAACCTACGAGCACTAGATGTATTTAATCCAATAATAGCATTAATTAGAGAAAGACAAATGAAGCTAAACAACCTTCCTAAGTGCTAGAAAAGATATAACCTAATTCTATATTTTTCAAGGGATTGAACGAAAACATGAAAAATAATCATCAACCCCTAATTATTATCATAGGTAGGTTTAAACAAGCAAGTACATGGACTTG